GTCATTTTTGAGAAGGATCGTTTGAGAAAACTTAATTTTTGTCTAAGAATTTCCTGATTTTGCTTGTTTTTTGATCAATATTTTCCAAATTCTCAAATCAATTGTTCATGAAGGGGTCCCAGTGTACAAGAAGTACCGACGAGTGGGGTGGGGTAGGGAGCAACCAGGGTGCAATGGAGGCGGTCAGGTGGGACGAGCGGAGACGACAGTTCCTCCAGGAGACGATCGAGGAGGCGAGACCGAGCATGGCGACGCTGAAGGAAAACGCCGACTACATCAGCCAGGTAGGTGAAGATGGGGAGATGGTGGGCATGCGAGGGAAGTGAAGGGAGAGAGCAGCTCGTTCCAGCAATGAGGTTAGCGGAGCAAACTGCATGATGGGTTGGAGTATGCGAGACCAGCAAGAAAGAACAGCGAGATTATAGCGAGAGAGTGGACTGCGTTCTCTGCTCCGTGTCGAGACATGGTGGTAGTGCAGAAGAGACGATGTCTTAGCAGGAAGGACCGTTGTTGAACTAGATTTGTCAATGGCTGGGGGCCTTTGATCTGTATCAAGTCGTCCCGACGCTTGCAAGACCCTCTGACAACTTTTGTAGATGGCCGACTACATCGAGAGCACTTATGCTGAAGAACCGCAGTCGGCAGAGAGCTTGATCGACCAGGGACGAGACTACATAATAGATTCCACCATCACTACAGTGACATATCTGGATCACCTCGTTCAGACCATGGAGGCTGTCTTCCAAGGACAGGAGCTTGCAATCGAGTCGATCACCAACAGCACGGACTCCATCTGCCACAGAGCCGCGGCATGCAAGAGAATGCGGAGCCTCAAGCACCTCGAAGCAAGTAGGATAGCGACGAAGCCGTGAGCGATGTGCTGTTTGCGATGAGGCCATGTTGACCGCTCTTGCAGGAACTTGCTGCCTGCTGATGGTACTTCTCACATGCCAGTCTCTTCCTCCAACTACCTGCACTACCTTGCCCCCTTGCCCCCGCCCTTCATTACTAATACAGCCACACTGCTGCTGCTTGTGCGAATGCTGCTGCTGCTGCTGTTCTCCACTCGTCTTGTTCTGCTTCTCACTTTTCCTCCTCAACCTGAGTTTGTCGGTGAGCAGGCAGTGCAGAGCAGCATCAGCTCGACGACAGCGTGCTTCCGAGACACGCTCGCTCTACCAACTTGGCCCACAACTCCTGGCAACAACCGTAAGGCCGTGCTATGAAAGAGAGGAGGGAGAAAGTGCAGGCCTGGGGAAGGAGGATAGGGTGGGAGCGAGAGGGAAGCAGGAGAGAGGAGAGGATGTGTGGAGGGCTGGGCTTCTCTACCGTTGCAAGGGATGAACATGTTCGTGTTGCCGCAAATAAATCATTCCTACTTGTTGTGAGTGATTCCGTCGGCC